GCACATTCAAGAGGCCTCAAGACGGCCCCGAGATGGTTTCAAGTGCCCCCCGAGCCCTCCAAGGAAAGGGCCCCCCCAAGAGGCCAAAATGGCTCCCAAACCAAAGGGATTGTTGCCTTCTCGCCTTATCGCTTCCGATGGGCCTCGGAGGCCACAAACTGGCCCCAAGATGGCCCAAGGAGGTCCCAAGAGGGCTCCAAGACGGCCCCAATAATGCTCCAAGAACGGCTCCAGAAGGCCTGAAAACGACATTTGTGAGTCTCCGAAGGGGGGGGGGGCCTGAATCCGTTACCCCTCTAATTTTCAGCCTCGGGGGCCAAGACGGCCCCAAGAGGCCGCCCAGACCCCCCAAAAGAGTTCCCAGAGGACCCCCAGACCCGCCAAAAGTTCCCCAAGAGTGCCCCAAGTGGCTCCGCGAGGACCCCAAGTGAGATCCAACATGGATCCACGAGACCTCCGAGAAAACACTTCCAAGGCGGCTGTTGCACCTGCATGCTTCTACACTGTCCTGACTGAAGGCAACTCGCCTGGCGATCTGTTTCTGGATGGGCTGGGGGGATACGCGAAGCGTCGAGAGTTTTTCGAGCCACGTCCGCGGCCACGGCTGGCGGCGCGCACATCGGGGCGGCGCCGTGGGCTTGACCCTCTAAAAAGGCGGGCAGGCTTCCAAGCAGGCAAGGGGCTTCTCGGAAGCCCGCCTGGCCGCGAAGAAGCCTTCTAGAAGCCCGTGGGCCCTGGACCCTTCTAGAAGCTTTCTAGAAGCCCTGGCCTCGAAGAAGCCTCCTAGAAGCCTTCTAGAAGCCCTTGGGCCCTTCCAAGAGGGCCCCTGCCCTCTATGAAGCCCCCCGCCTTCTCCGAAGGCCCTCCCGTCCCCCCTCGCGCCACCCCTCTGTGCGAGCCGCCGGCACGAGGGTGCCTCCCCCCGATGCCCAAGAGCGAGGCCCAAACTAGTCACCCTCGAGGCGCCCGAGTCGGGTGTGGACGACGACGACGATGACGACCACGGCGACGACGACGACGACCACGGCGACGACGACGACTACGACGATGACGACGACTATGCCGACGCGGACGGCCTGGAGCCCGGCCCAGCGGGCGCAGAGGAGCGACCAAGAGCCAAAGCGCTACAGTCCACCCGCATGATAAGGACGCGCGATGAGGATGCCAGGGCCTTGGGGGGCCAGGTCGACACCTTGCGAGCCAGGCGCGGCCAGCGAAAGTGCCGAGGATGGGCCAGAGGGCAAGGGTGCAAGGGCAACCTTGGAAAATCGCTCCTCCTTACTATGCGGGTTGACTGTGATCGGCTTGGCAAGCGGGGGGCACTCTCCCGGCATCCGACGTCTTGGCTTTACCAGCACGGGGCTCCCGAGGTCCTGACCCGCTCCCTGCGGGGCCATCTTTTCCTCCCGAGTCGTCCCTCCACGGCCCAGGAGCCCGGCGAGGGCCCCCACAGGCCGAGACCTGCCCAAGAAACCTCCCGTGGCGATGTCTTCGCACGCCGCGAGCCTGCCTGGGTGTACCAACCTCCTGGAGAGACCTCGTGGACGGGGTCCGAGTAGCTGAGGTTTGAGGCTCGCGCCGCAGCGCCAATGTGCCAATGCATGGCCAATGCATCGCCGATTCCTCGTCCAAATCGGCGATGCATCGGCGCCGTCGGCGTGGGGAAAGTCGGGCTCCACGTCGGGCCGCATCGGCGATGCATCGGCGATGCGGAACCATCCTTCGACCCCGTCTCTACTCCGACCCCATCTGGGAGGCCCAGGAGTGCATCAACCTCTGCGGCAGGTCGGCACCCTGGGCGCCTCCCGGGAGCTCCAGCTCGAGGTCGGCGTCGGCGTCGTCGTCGTCGTCGTCGTCGGAGCTCCAGCTCCACGTCGGCGGGGTCGGACGGCAGGCCCGCGAGGGCGGCCCTCGGCAGCGAGCCGTTCTCTGGCGGCGGGCCCTCCCCCGCCGCCGCGGGCCGCGCTGCCGCGGGCCGCGTCGCCGCGGGCCGCGTCGGCGCGGGCGTCGGCGCCGGCGTGCGGCGGGCCGCCTCGCGGCGGGCCGCCTCCGGCCGCGGGGGCCTCGCGCGGGGGCCTCCCCAAGCAGGGCGCGGGGGGGGGGCAGCGAGGGTTCGGCGGCGAGCCCCGGGGGGGTTGCTAGAAGTTCGGGGGCAACGAGAGGGGGGATGGGCACAATCGAGGGGGGGGTGCATCGCTCCCGCCCCCCAATCGCCCATTGATCGCCGATGGGGGTCTGATAGCCCCAGCCCGCCAGGGGGGGGGAGAAGGGGCGGGCCTTCTCAGAAGGCTCGGAGGTCCCTAGGCCTTCGGAGAAGCTTTCTTAAAGCCTTCCCCGAAGGCGCAGGAAGCTTCGCAGAGGGCGCGGGGGCTTCTGAGAAGCCCGCCCGCCTTCGGAGAAGGCCGACTCCTTCTTACTTGCCCCCCTCGCTCGCCGCCGAATTGTAGTGTAGCGCTGATGCCCTTGAGGGTAGGCGCGGCCCTTTCTGTGTCGGGTGGGGCACTTGGGCGCTCCCATCCTTGATCGTCGGTGCCAATGAAAGTGGGGAAGTCCCACCATTCGCTGCTGTTGGTCTCGTGTGGGAGGCCTCTCTTCCGCCACCCCTCCTCCACATCTACAGTCAACCTGTATAGTGAGGATGCGCGATAAGGATACAAGGGCCTTGGAAACTCATTTCGAAGTTTTCCGAGCGAGGCGCGGTCAACGAAAGTGGCAAAGGATGGACCGAGGAGGCAAGGATGCAAGGGTACCCTTGGGAAGGTTGCCCATCCTTACTATGCGGGTTGACTGTACCCGAAAGTCCTGGCGTCGCAATTTTCTTCACACTGGGCGAGGATGCCTTGCTTCGGGCCCTGGAGCCCTCGCGTCGGATCTCGGGATGCGAGTGCCGTATTGCCCTCCCCCTCCCTCTCTCGCCTCCCTGCCGAGGCCGCCCCGATGGGTCTGGAAGAGAGAGGGGGCGTCGGATGATCGCACCGCATCGCCGATGCGTCGACGACGTTGGGATTGCGAAGATCGGTCGGCTACACGCAAGAGTGACCCTGGGTAAGGGTGGCCTTTGGTGCGCGGCTTTCGGGGGCCGCGGGGGGACCAAACACAAACCGCGAGACACCACTACTGTATTGCAGCGCATTCGGCGATCGGGGGACTCCAATGGGCCCGCACCAAAGGTCACTCCAGCGAAGGGTCACTCGCACGTGTAGTCGAATCGGGCTCTCGAGCCCGCCGGGTCGCCAACACACTGGCGATGCGGTGCGATCATCCGAATCCGTGAAGGAAGAACGCTTGTGCCTCAGACGTGCGATGTTTTTTTTTTTCGACACGCACTTCCCAAAAGTCCCGCCCACCCCTTGCCCCGGGACGGGCTTTTCATCCTGAGTAGTTTTTTGACGGTCACATGATGATGATGATGATGATGATGATGATGATGAGGAGGAGGAGGAGGAGGAGGAGGAGGAGGATGGGGGGCAGGAGGAGGTTGGTCAGTACAACATTTTTGTTGATTACCTCTGAGCTGGAAGCCAGCCAAATGACACCGTCCCGCCAACAACACGCGCCAGCTGGAAGATGGCTCAACACTCTCGCAGACCCTCCCCCGCGCTCAAGCCAAGAATGCAGCGTCATCCTCGCTTAACATACCGCACTGTACCGTCCCATCGCCATGCGCAGGGGCTTGGGGGCTTGGGGCCATCTAGGAGATTTCATTGCCACAGAATACACACATATCTATATATATATATATATATAGATGACAGGAGAGGCCCATGAGGGGAACCTCGTAGGGGCCCTGGGAGCCCTCTGCTACAAGATGCCACCCCCAAGACGCATCGAATGACCCCAGCATGCCCCCAAGAGACCCCCAAGAAGCCCTCTGAGGGCTTCGAAACAAAAAACAAACGGGAGCCCCGAAGAGGCTTGCGTCTAAGAGGCCGCCAATGAGCCCCGCAGCAGACGCGGAGGAACAAGGGCCAAGTCAGAAACAAAAACACGTATGCAACAAACACGACGGGACGCGGCGACCAACGCACACTGTGCAGCATACGGAATCGGAGGCCGCACTCCTCATCTGTGGGCCGGCGGAGCGTACGCACCCCGGTCCTTGCCCCCCTTCGCCCCCGTCTCCGACGCCCTCGAGTGCATCTGCGCACCTGCCCTGACCCTGGCCGGGCTGACCCTAGGCCAAGCACTGGTGCACACGCGCCTCCCAGGGGAGGAGGAGGAGGACGGAGGAGGAGGAGGAGGAGGAGGAGGAGGAGGAGGAGGAGGAGGAGGAGGAGGACGGATGAGGAGGAGGAGGAGGAGAGGAGGAGGAGGAGGAGGGGAGGAGAACGGAGGAGGAGGAGGAGGAGGAGGAGGAGGAGGAGGAGGAGGAGGGGGGGGGGCAGTAGGAGGTTTGTCAGCGCATCATTCCCTTGATTACCTCAGGGGTCGGACCATCATCAGGGGTCGGTCGGGCTTCCGGGCAAGCGAGCGGGCGGACCGCGCTGGACGGGTCGGGCGGGCGGGCCCCGACGGGCGGCTCGGGCGGGCGCCTACCTGGCCAGGACAAGAGCGTGCGTGCACCGATCCCAGGCCCAGGGCGGGCTCGGTGTCTCGGCGGCGAGCGAGGGGGGGAAGTGAGAAGGAGAAGGCCTTCTCAGAAGGCGGCGGGACTTCTCAGGAGCCCTCGCGCCTTCCGAGAAGACCTTGTGATTAAGAAAACTCCTCAGAAGGCCAGCGAACTTCCGAACCTTCTGAGAAGGCCTTCTCCTTCTCACTTCCCCACCTCTCTCGCCGCCGAGTGTCATGAGGCACGTCATTCGTTGAGCGACCAGCGTGAGATGACACAGCGACCCTGCGTGGCGGCTTACGCGGGCCGCGGGCGCGACACGCTACATCGGCAGCGAGGGCGCTTACGCGCGTCCTTACGCGGGCAGCTCACGCGCCAATGTCGGCAGTCGAACCCGTTTTCCTGCGTCGTTCAGTTGGCGTCCCCCGGACCTCGTGCTCGCGCTCGGCACCAGGGAGAACGCGCCGTCCTGTCGGCGCGTGCCAAGAAGCAGGCTCGAGCAAATTTGTCCCTGTCGCCTCTGAGAGCCTGCTTCGGGCTCTGGGGCCGTGAAACATCGATCCGGGATGAAGGGCAAGGATGGACCTCGGGAAGGGCCCTGGGAGCCGCCCTGAGCCGATTTGGGGTGTGAGTGCGAAGGGGAGTGGGGCTTCCAGGAGGTTCGACCATCAGCATGCTGACATTTCGATCAACTTTGCAGGGAACCTCCACGGGTGCTGCTTCTGAATGGGTCTTGCTCAGGGCGAAGGGGGCGGCGGCCTTTTAAATAAGAAGGCAGGGGCGGGCTTCTTGCAAGGGATCGGAAGCTTCCAAGAATGGGCGGAACGCAACAACATATCACCACCGTGACTGGCTGGGGCATCCTTAGCCTCGGCATGGTGTAATTAATCGCCCGTCGTTAAAACAAGGGGGGCTTCTTAGAAACCCTCTGCCTTCGTGTTGGCATGAAGGGAGATGGATCATGAGGGAAACGAGGCCTGGACTCTGGGACTCCCGTCTCAAGACCCACATCTCATCCCGAGCCGCTTCTTGACACTCCCAGGGTTCGAGAACCCCAAACAGGAGAAACAACGTGGCCCCGTTCCCCGTTCTCTCGGCTGCGCGCGAGAGTGACCCTGGGCAAGAGGAACCTTCGGTGCGCGGCTTTTGGGGGGGCCGCGAGGAAGCCAATCCCGTGGACGCAGGCCGCTGCCATCGCATCGCATTCATCGATCGGGGCGCCTCAGTGGGCCCGTACCAAAGGTCACTCCCGCGAAAGGTCACCCTTACGTTTAGCCGACCTTCCCCCACGGCGATCTTGTAAGGCCGCCGCCCTCGCGCCACCCCTGCTTTGCCCGCCGCCGAGTCCTTGCGGAAGGCGTCGACGCCCGTTGCCGCGGCCACGGCGCGGGCCACGAACCTCCCGAGGGGCACGAAGTAGCTGGACGCGCCCCAGTCGGTGAAGATCTCCTCGGTGAGCCAGTGGTTCTTGGAGGCCTCGTCCTTGCCCGCCGGCTTGAAGGCGAGCTGGGGATGCAGGAAATTCGACATCTCAGCAAATTCTGGGTTCGTCGCGCCCACACGGTCTGGGCCGAGGACCTTCTTCCCGTGGAAGCCCTCGCCATATCTGAACACCCACGTCAGCCTGGGATGGCTGCGGTACCGCTCCTCGAATATGGGCAGCGGCACGTCCTCCATGTAGCGGGCAGTCCAGGAGCCGCTCTCCGCATCTGCCTCGAACACCACCATGTCGCCAAGCGTCTGGAACATCTGGTAAGGGCCAGAGGCCTCGTTGATGCGGTTGCTCAGCTTGTGCAAGAGCTCGTCGAGCCCAGTGCAGGGGCCGGCGTCCGCGCTGGGAGCGTGCAAAATGATGGGCGTGCTCGGCCACGCCACGCCGTGGTTCTTCTCCTCCAAGAACCGGAACAGGGCGCGCGCGGTGTACCGGAATCCGTGGACGAACCCCCCGGCCGACCTGCGGAAGTCCAGGCTGTGCGTCAGAGTGCCTGCCACGTAGAGTCCAGGCACGCCCTCTAGCTCGTAGCCTGGCGTGATCTTGGGGTACTTCCCAGCATGAGATGTCTTCACTGGCACGGACTTGTCGAAGATCGAGGTGTCCATTATCCAGCCGTAGGCACGGATAATGTTGTCCATGGGGAACCGTCCAGGATCAAGCCCGTGATCGATCCTCAACGTCGTCAGGGCGTCCATGAGCGCTGGGCGCTCGCGGAGCAGAGACGTTGTGACGCGCAGCTCCTCCCATTCGATCTGGAAGACAGCCTCGTCGATACCCATTTTCACTCTCAGCTCCATTGTTCGGCTCTTTCCTGGAGCGTCTTCGGGCAAATAGTCTTTAGCTCCTACTCGTGACATTTCATACTGCGTCCCCTGCTTTGCGGAATGCTCCTGCAACAGCTGCCGCGCATGCAAAGAGAGGCTGGAGTTGGCAGGGAACCTGCCGATGTCCACCCAGTAGTTCAGCTCCTGCCCCCCCGAATGGTACGCCTCCTTGCAACGGTCGTCGGCGCAATCCTCATCTTCAACCATCCACATGCACAGCCGGGTGCCTTGGCACGGGACCACCGCCAGTCGCTGATCCTTGAAAACGCTGAAGTCGAAGGTGTCAAGACTCTTCAGCAGGTAGGTGTCCAAGATCGTGGTTCTCCCAGCGCGGATGTCGCCGACGTAGTGTGTCTCGTACGCGAAGCGCACGCCCTTCTTCTTGCCGCCCGGGAGCGGCCGCAGGCGCCCGTAGACGTGCGTCTCGGCCGCGTACTTCTGCAGCTCCTGCGCGGTCTCCATGGCGGCGTTGCCCAGCCCCAGGATCACCACCGACTTGCCCTCGAACGACTCGCCCGTCTCCGGGAGATCCTCGTACCCCGTCAGGAGCTTGTCGCCGTCGATCCTCGCCCTGGCGTCCCTCGGCTTCCACAGGCCCGTGGCCACCACCACCGCGCCGCACCCGACCTCGCCGCCGTCGGGCCCCGGCGGCGCGGGCGGGTAGTTGCCGTCGACAACCGCGCCCAGGGCAAGCGAGAGGACGAAGCCTGGACCGCCATCGGCTCGGCGGACGCGCGCCACCGTGGTGTTGTACCGGATCTGCGGCGCCTGCTCCTCTGAGAAATCCACCAAGTACTGGGCGAGCACGTCCGCGCGGGGGAACAAGTCCCTGCTGCGCTCCGTGACTGGCCGGGTGCGGTTGTCGCCCGTGCGGACGTCGATCAGCGAGTTCCAGTCGTGCCGGAACGCAAACTCTGCGCTGCGGCCCTCGCGGACCCGCCGCTTGTTCAGCGAGATCAGGCCTCGGTGGCGCGGGTATCTGCGGAAGAAGCTGCCGGAGCGCGCGCTGCGCTCGAAGATGACGTAATCGCGCCCTGCATGATTGAGGAAGTGCCCCAGCTGCAGGCCAGCCGGACCAGCGCCGATGATGCAGGTCTGGTGGTATTCCTGAGGCGGCCAGCAGGAACACTTATGACATGGTGTGGGTAGTCGTGCGGGGAGCGCCAACCACGCCTACGAGGGCGAGCAGGGCAAAAGGACGACGACAGGAGTGAGGAATAGAGGACGACACTCAGTAAAACGTAAACTTTTGACGGTCCGCGCGGATTTCTTGGATCTGAACTTGGGCCCCCTTCCCTGCTGCACAAAGCGCGCCGGGGGCGTCGCCGGAGGCGCCGCCAGGGGGGGCCCAGCGCGGATCCAAGAAATCCGCGCGGAGCGCTTAAAGTTTATGATCATGCCGTTTGTTCTTCTTCGAGTAAAGGGACGACGACAAGAGTGAGAACTCCTACGAAGACGGGGAAAGGACAATGGGCAGCAACGACAGCGGCATAAAAGAAGCAACGAGGATGAGCAGCGGCGGTGAGGGGAGCCTTGGCTCTATGGGGAAATCACCGCAGTGTTGAGTCGGGCATGTCCCCCTACAGGCGGATTTCGAAAGAACAATAGCACACAGCCAAGAAGAAGAATCGCCACCAGACTATGCTTTCACTACTCTTGGCTATTCCTTCTGGGGAACTCCTCGCCTTTGGCATCGGCGACACAGCACCGACAGCTCCACGACACCGCCCGTTCTGGGCAGGGTGGGGCGCCCGAGCCCCGACAACCCGAGGCAAGAGAGACCCGAGGTGGTGCTCCCCTCCCGGAGCCAACGCTCGGACGCCCGTGCCCCGCGCGTTTTTTTCGGCGTCCTGCGCGCACCCCTTTCGGGCCAGGGGATCCAGGACGGGGCCAGACCGAAACGTTTTTGTTTGCTGTGCTGTTTTCGTCTGGTTGCTCCTTTTGCCCTGCCTGCTGTCCTGTGCCTCCACCCCAAGCAGGAAAAACAGACACACCGCCGAAATCCCGCAACACAGCGTTTAGGTCCAGTCCTGATTCAGGATTAAAACAGGGCTAGGATCGGGATAAATGTCTTCAGAGCGTTCCGGAGCGCTCTCAGAGCGTTCCGGAACGCTCTGGAGCGGCCGCGGCGCCCAATGTATCCTCCAAACCCGCCGATTCTCAGAGACTTCGAGTTATCCCGATCCGATTTTGTCCCGATCTTCGCGTCGTTTGAGGGATGCTCCTCGATGGTCCTCGTGGTTACAAAAGGACGGCACACGCCCGGGCGAGGCCAGGTCCCCGAGCCGGCCGCCCACCCTCGGGCCGCCGCCGCCCCTGCTGGGTCCTGGCGCGCGGGCCTGCGGACCTCTCGGCCGCACCACCACTTGGACGCCCGAAATGGGCACTGAAAGAATGGGTGCAATGCCCAACAGCAAAGGTCGTCCCAAACCAACAGCGGCCGCTGTTGGGCAGGTGGCCTTCTGTCTCAAATGGACACAGGCCGCGGCGGCGCGGACAGCGAGTCCTGTTCAGAGTGAACAAGAACTGCTGTTGGGCATCGTACCCATTCTTTCCGTGCCCATCTCGTTCGTGCAGACACCAGGGCTTGGCTCTTCCTCCCCGACCGTTTCTTTTGGCGGCCGGGGGGCCACGGCGGCGGTCGAGGTCCAAATCCCAGCGCGACCCGGCAGAGTCGCCAGACAAGAAACGAGAAGACTGGGTCTCTGGAGGCCGCCCCCTGGAAGGATGGTGCTCCCGTCGTACTTGAGGACCACATCCCAGGAACAATTCCGAGCATCCAGCAAAGCGTCGGAGATTGGTGTCGAACGAGTATCGCCTCCCAGGGCCCGACACGTGAAAACCCTCAAGCGTCGATACTTTCTTGGTGCTCGAGAATCTTTCTGGTGATGAAGGCTAAAGTCCCTGGAGTGCTGGAAGGCCTTCGCCTCTGGACTCCAGAGGCGAAGGCGAAGGCCTCCTCCTTCCCCTCTTGAGGACGACACAGGCGAGGGTGGCGAGGATTCATGATTATGAGGCGGAAGTCAACGGGCACATGGAGGAGGAGGAGGAAGAGGAGTGGGAGGAGGAGGAGGAGGAGGAGGAGGAGGAGGAGGAGGAGGAGGAGGAGGAGGAGGAGGGGGAGGATTGAATTGTTGACAACATGCGGCATGGATTTGGGTCGACCAATTTCGAGGGCGCATGGGCGCGACGACAGGTGATTTATCATCACGAAGTGCATCCTGAAACGCGCGCCTCTGAAATCGACAGGTTCGAAAGACAGCGTGCGTAGTTCGATAGGCGCTCGCGACCGCTGGCGTGCATCCATAGATTGCCCCCCTGGCAAAATCAACATAATGTCTGCTACATATATTCGCATGGTATGTTGGCATCCATTAGGATATCGTAGTCTCAGCTCTGGAGGCCCCTGAGGACCCAAACCATAGATAATCGATTAATTACATTCTCAGTCGTCCTGTTCCTCCGGCGACACCTTCTCCTCCCAGATGAGCTCTTGACGGCCCCTCGGGAACCTGGGACCGAGGGGCGGGCAACAGCGAGTGGGGGAGGCGCGGCGCCCAAGAACATGTGCGATTCCTCCCAGAGAACCTGGGGCGGCCCCTTCAAGAAAGCGACACGCCCTCAGGGGGCCCTCACACTGGCGATCCCCCAAGGAGGCGCGACCCCTCCCCAGGAGCGGTTCCCTCCCCCCCCCCTTCCTCGAGCAACGGAGAGGGGCAGCAACGAAGAGCAGTCGTGGCGCTCCTGTGGCGGCGCGCCCCCAACAGTAGGAACGCCCGCGGGCGCCAGCCACAGGGCCACCACGACGCCACTGGCGCGTCTCGCCAACATCGCGCTTCGCGCGGGCGCGTGCTGGAAGCGTCCGCGCCGCGCCGAAGCGCTTTGAGTCGGGATGGCTGAAGCGAAGGGGGTGCAGACGGGCAGGACGATGACCAGGAGGAGGCAAAGGGGGAGGAGGAGGAGGAGGAGGAGGAGGAGGAGGAGGAGGAGGAGGAGGACGAGGAGGAGGAGGTGGGGCAAGAGGGGAATGAGACAGAGTATGAACGCCGCCGAAGGGTTATCATGATGTTGTCCTTTACACCCTGGACTGTCTGGCCGCAGGGACGCGACGATTGGGGCCCATGAACAGAACCAATGTATGCGTAGGTACCGAAGTGGTACCCTTTGCGGTAGCCCGCAGAGGCGTAGGTCGCCATCACACAAACGAAACGGAATGCTCCCAACCTGCAAGTGACGATGTCCCAATGATCGTCACCGCCGAACTCGACATCCAACCGATGTCCGCCATGTAGAGGGAATGGCGGAAGCAGCCAGACGAAGAACCGTCTCCGGCACGATTGGCTCGAACTTGTGATATACAGGAGCCCGAAGCAACGTTCTCGCCGCTTAACAATTATACGTCGTCCTGTCCATTTCCACTGTGCATGTCGTGATTTCACTGTACAGTAGGCGTATTGACGAACCCCACCGTGTTATCCTCGTTTCCGCGTATGACCTCCGCGAACATTTGTTCACAAACTAATACATTCATGGCGATGACCATTTTCTCCTTGCTCACCTTGGACGTCGCCTTCTGGTCCGCCCAAAGTACCGTCCACCGCACGAAGAGCGTTCGCCGACACCTTGCGCCACGCTGGACTATCCGTCAACCTGTTATCCCTGTCCATGGCCCCTTTTGAAGCTTGCCGCGGAATAAGCGCACTTGGCCATGGCATCCGGTGTCATCCTCTCTCGGAGCGCCCATGACTTGCTGCGCGCCCCTTCGAAAAACACGCCTCGAACGCGGCCAACTTCAGGGCGAAGGTGGGGCACTCGAAGCACCTTGCCATCGGCGCGAACCGCTTGCAATCCGCGGCCTCGAAAATCTCTGCCCGTCCAATTGCCGCGGCGCGGCTGGCGGGCGAGCCAGCCCCCGCCTGGATGATCTCATTGAACAAAGACAAACAACAAAAAAATGTTGCCCACGCGGGATGGGGGCTGGAAAAGGAGGTCCGGACGGGGAGGAAGGGAGGGGGGGGGGGCGGACGGGGGGGCTGGGATGGCAGGCGCGGGGGGGAGAGGGCGGCAGCCGACGCAGCGGTGGTACGAGGACCACTTGAGCCATTTAGACGCGCCAGCCGCCCCAGCGCTCGCAAGGCCAGGAATGGGGGGGGAGGGGGGGGGGAATCAGGGGGGGCAAAGGGGAGGGAGGGGCAGGAGAGGAGGGGAAGGATTGGGCGGGAGCGGGTGGGGGGGGGGCAAGGTGGGGGGAGGGGCAGCATGGAGGGGGGAAGGTTTTTTTTCGCCCGGACAGAACACCTGGCCCGCCCACCCCAGCCATCGGGCATCCCGTCCGCCCCCCGCCCGGGCCAGTAGGGAGCGCGGGGAAGAGGCACTGAGCACCTGCCTGCGAGTATGGCGCGGGCCTGTCGCCCCTTGCAAGGGAGCGCGGCCCTTGGTGGTCTTCGGGTCATTGCTCGGGC